ATCCAGAGCTTGTGGGCTGCCTCATGTACCTGATGACCTGCACTCGACCTGACCTGGCATACCCTCTTAGCATCCTAGCACGCTATGTCGCTCCCGGCCGTCACCGGAAGGAGCACATGGATGCCGCTAAGAGGGTGTTGCGCTACTTGTGCAGTACGTCGGGCATGGGGCTCGTGCTTGGAGGTCGGAGCGACGTTGTCCTCACGGGTCACTCAGACGCTTCTTGGGCTGACGACCAGGCTACGCAGCGGTCGTCTCAGGGTTACACCTTCAGCCTTGGCTCTGGTTCAGTTTCTTGGCGTTCTACTCGCTCTTCTTCTGTTCTCAGCTCCAGTTGTGAGGCTGAGATCTACGCCACAGCCATGGCTGCACAGGAGTTACGCTGGCTCACCTACCTGCTGACCGACCTGGGAGAGCGGCCTCGTTCTCCTCCAGTGCTGTACGTTGACAACAAGGCCGCCATTGCCTTGTGTGAGGAGCACAGACTGGAGCACAGGACGAAGCACATCGCTCTGCGCTACTTCCTTGCTCGAGAGCTGCAGTAGCGTGGTCAGCTTCGTCTGCGTTACGTGGCCACTCGGGCCAACACTGCTGATGTGTTCACCAAGGCGCTTCAGCCTTGTGACCATCAGCGTTTCTGTACTGTTCTAGGCCTTGTGCCTACTCTCCCTCACTTGCTCACTTCTTGACTCTGCTTGTACTGTGATCTCTATATATATATACCTGCATGTTTACTCTTGTTAGGTTGTGATCACTGTACCTCTTGTTATATTATCAAACTGCATGTGAACTGGTCTTGTGACCACTTGCTTGTGCTCGGATTTTGTGTGGTTTCCTTGAGATCCACCCTGAGCTTGCTTTGCTTTGCTTTGACTGGTCTTGTGACCATCTGGTTGTCTCCCACTTAGCCTATGGGGGTGTGTCAAACATTATACATGTTCATATTGTGTAGGCTATAGTGGGTTTAGCCTTAGGGGGTACAACATTGCTAGGGTTTCCTACTTGTATCACCCTGCTGCCTAGTTTCACACATTCTCGTTCAGTTCTACATTCTAACATCAGCGTTACACCACAGTCTTCCCCTTGCGCCGCAAGGGTGAGGTCACTGAGGTGTTGATCGACTGGATCCGTACTGCACGTCTCCAGCTCAGAGAGAGTTTCGGCTCGGACTTTCCTGTTCTGCGTCTGCACTCCGACAGCGGTGGAGAGTTTTCCTCCGACCTCCTGGGAGCCTTCTGTCGTGCGTAGGGCATCCGCCAGACGTTCACGCTTCCGGCATCTCCACAGCAAAATGGGATTGCTGAGCGCCGCATTGGCTTGGTCATGGAGCGCCCATTTTCTGTGGCCGTTCGCGGTTCATTATGCGGCGCATCAGATCAACCTTCAGCCCCGGGTCTCAGTGCCGGAGACCTCCCCTACTCTGTGGTGGACAGGAGAGGTTGGCGGCGTCTGCGTTCCGTGTCTGGGGATCTCGAGCTTTCGTCCGCGACTTGTCTGCGGACAAGCTGTCCTCCCGTGCTGTTCCCTGCGTCTTCCTTGGCTTCCTCGCTGACGCGCGTGGTTGGCAGTTTTACCACCCCACCTCGCGCCGTGTTCTGTCCTCTCAGGACGTCACGTTTGACGAGTCGGTTCCTTACTACCGTCTCTTCCCCTACCGCACTGCTCCCCTTCCCCCCCCGCCGCTCTTCCTCGCGCCAGGTCGCCCCCCGGTAGACCCCCTCCCCCCCCAGGGTCCTGCCCCCTCAGGTGTGTCCCAGGTAGACGCGGTCGAGCCTGTCGAGGTAGCTGTTGACTCTGGTGCTGCTAGGGGTGCTGAGCCTGCGGGTGCCGGGTCTAGGGGTGCTGAGCCTGAGCGTGCGGAGCCTGGGGGTGCTGGGTCTGGGGGTGCTGAGCCTGAGCATGCGGAGCCTTGGGGTGCTGGGTCTGGGGGTGCTGAGCTTGACGGAGCTGGGCCTGGAGGTCCTTCGGTTGCTTCTTCCCGTCGGGAGCTACCCTCCCCACAAGAGCTGCGCGAGTGGTTTGCTCGGCGCTGGAGCCGTGCTGCTGGAGCTGGCGGTGCTGCCGGTACTGGAGGTTCTACTGCTACTGGGGGTGCTGGAGCCACGGGTCCCGGAGGTGCTCATACTGGAGGTACTGGAGCTGCTGGGCCTGGTAGTACTACTGGTGCTGGAGCTGCTGGCGAAGCTGGAGCTCGCGGAGCTGGAGCTGGCGGAGCTGCTGGAGTCAGTGCTACTGGAGGTACTGGAGCCGGAGCTGCTGCGTCTTCCGGTGGTCCTGCTGGAGCTGAAGCTGCAGGAGGTACTGGAGCTAGAGGTGCTGCTAGAGCCGGTGCTCCTGTGGGTGCTGGAGTTGACGCTACTGGAGCTGGTAGTGCTGCTGGAGTTGGAGCTGACACTGGGGGTGCTGGTGCTGTCCCTGCTGGTTCAGGAGGCGCTGCGCGGCCGCAGCCGTACTTCGTTCCGCTCCTTGAGCAGGTTCTTGGTCTTCCGCCTTCTTCTGGTCCTGCTCCTTCCTTAGAGTGTCCACCTCCTGTCCAGTTCGAGTCACAGTTACCGCTGGCCTCCCCACTGCCTGCTCCTTCTCCCTACACTGGTCCTACTGGAGGTCTTGCTGAGCGTCGTGAGCCTGAGTCGCGTCCTGCGTCGCCTGTTCGTGCTGCTCGCCCTGGTCGTCGTGTTCCAAGTCAGCGTCCTCCTCCGGTCCCGGGCACGCACCAGATGGCACTGCGTCCTTGCACTGCTCCACAGCGTGTCCCTTTGCTGTCTCCTACTGAGTCCTCTCTTCTTGCTCTTGCTGACCCGGCGTCTGACTCCCTTCGTGCTGCCAGTCCTACTGTCACGCGTCTCCTAGCTACTGTTGTCACTGACCCTTCCTTTGAGTCCACTGCTGCGTCTGCCTTAGTTACTGAGCTTGTCGACTTCACTGCTCACTGTCGTCTAAACTACTCCGCTAGTCTTGTTGCTGAGTCTGGGTCTGTCTGTCCTCCGTCCGTCGGGGGTGAGTGTGCTCTTAGCACGGACGTCCTTGAGGACAGGCAGGAGGAGTTCCAGTGCTTTGCTGCTGCTTTACCTCATCTCGTGTCCATGCTAGTTGCCCCTGAGGGAGACCCGGATGCACCAGACATCCCGACCCCGCGCTCTTACGCAGAGGCGATAGAGGGTCCCTACTCCTCTCAGTGGCAGTCAGCCATGGACGCAGAGATGGCTTCCTGGAAGTCCACAGGCACCTACGTCGACGAGGTTCCCCCACCTGGGGCGAACATCGTCAGTGGCATGTGGATTTTCAGGGTGAAGCGGCCGCCAGGTTCTCCGCCTGTCTTCAAGGCTCGTTACGTGGGTCGAGGCTTCAGTCAGCGGCAGGGAGTTGACTACTTCCAGACCTTCTCTCCCACCCCGAAGATGACCACTCTTCGGGTGCTGCTGCACATAGCCGCTCAGCCCGACTACGAGCTTCACTCTCTTGACTTCAACACTGCTTTCCTACAGGGCAGCCTGCACGAGGAGATCTGGCTGCGCCGCCCCTGGCTTCACTGGGTCGTTTCCTCCTGGTACCCAGTGGAGCCTCCGGCGGCCAGTCTACGGTCTCCGCCAGGCGCCCCGTAAGTGGCACGACACACTGAGGACTACACTTGCGGCTCTTGGGTTTGCTCCTTCTACTGCTGACCCGTCGCTGTTTCTACGCACCGACACCTCTTTGCCGCCGTTCTACATCCTCGTGTACGTCGACGACTTGGTCTTTGCTACTGCTGACACTGCTGGACTCGCCCACGTAAAGTCTGAGCTGCAGAAGAGACACACGTGCACAGACCTGGGTGAACTGCGCAGCTACCTTGGCTTGCATATCACCCGGGACAGAGCACGGCGCACCATTACCCTGACTCAGTCACACATGGTGCTGCAGGTCCTTCAGCGCTTCGACTTCACGCACTCCTCGCCTCAGGCCACTCCTCTGTCTACTCGCCACTCGTTCTCAGCTCTGCCTTCGGACGAGTCCGTAGAGCCGAGTGGCCCGTACCCAGAGCTTGTTGGCTGCCTCATGTACCTGATGACCTGCACTCGACCTGACCTTGCATACCCTCTTAGCATCTTGGCACGCTATGTTGCTCCTAAGAGACACCGACCAGAGCACATGGCTACAGCGAAGAGGGTGTTGCGCTACTTGTGCAGTACGTCGGGCATGGGGCTTGTGCTTGGAGGGCGTAGTCCAGTGGTCCTCACTGGTCACGCAGACGCTTCTTGGGCTGACGACCAGGCTACGCAGCGATCATCACAGGGTTACACCTTCAGCCTTGGTTCCGGCTCTGTTTCGTGGCGGTCTACCCGCTCGTCTTCTGTTCTCGGCTCCAGCTGTGAGGCTGAGATCTACGCAGGGGCCATGGCTGCACAGGAGTTACGCTGGCTCACCTACCTGCTGACTGACCTAGGAGAGCCGCCTCGTTCTCCTCCAGTTCTGTACGTGGACAACAAGGCCATGCTGGCCTTGTGTCGGGAGCACAGACTGGAGCACAGAACGAAGCACATTGCTCTCCGCTACTTCCTTGCTCGTGAGCTGCAGCAGCTTGGTCAGCTGCGCCTTGCTTACGTGGCCTCTCAGGCCAACACTGCTGATATCTTCACCAAGGCACTTCAGCCTTGTGATCATCAGCGCTTCTGTTCTATGCTAGGTCTTGTGCCTACTTGGCCTCACTTGCTTACCTCTTGACTTTGCTTGTACTGTGATCTATATATACCTGCACCTGCATGTTTACCTTTATATATAATCTTGCATGTGAACTAGCCTTGTGGCCTTTGAACCTGTGCTCGGACTGTGTGGTGACGTTGTGATCCACCCTGAGCTTGCTTTGCTTTGCGCTGCTTGACTGGTCTTGTGACCCCTTGTTCTCCCCCACTTTGCCTATGGGGGTGTGTCAAACTCATATGCTGTCGTCTATCTAGGCTGTAGTGGGGTAGACAGTATAGGGTACAACACTTCTAGGTGTCCTACTTGTACCCACTCCTTCCTTAGTCATCCCATTCCTCGTTATTCTCACAGAGAGAGGAAGAGCGAAGGGAGAGATGAAGGGCGACGGGAGAGAGAAAGGCGACGGGAGGGAAGGAAGGGCGACGGGAGAGAGAAAGGGCGACGGGAGAGGAAAGGCGATGGGAGGAAGGAAGGGCGACGGGAGAGGAAAGCAACGGGAGAGAAAAAGGGCGACGGGAGAGTAGGAAAGGCGACGGGAGAGGAAAGCAACGGAAGAGAAGAAGGGCGACAGGAGAGAAAGGCGACGGGAGAGAAAGGCGACGGGAGAGAAGGGCGACGGGAGAGAAGGGCGACGGGAGAGAAAGGTGACGGGAGAGAAGGAAGGGCGATGGGAGAGAAAGGCGACGGGAGAGGAAAGGCGACGGGAGGGAAAGGCGACGGGAGGGAAAGGCGACGGGAGAGGAAATGCGACGAGAGAGGAAAGGGGACGGGAGGGAAAGGTGAAGGGAGGGGAGGGGCGACGGGAGAGAAGACGGGTGACGGGAGAGAAACATGTGCGGGATGGGAGGGGAGAGATAGCGAGGCGACGGGATGGGGGGGAAGAGATAGCGAGGCGAAGCGCATTGAGGGGAAGGCCGCGATGGGAGATAGCGAGGGCGACGTCGGGACGGAGGCGGCGAGAGGGCGATAGGAGGCGGCGAGAGGGCAATAGGAGGCGGCGAGAGGGCGATCTAAACGGCACAATTACTGCGCAATCATGCCAGATAATCACTACGCGTCTAAGTTGCGGTAACAATAGCCTATGTTGAGGGCTATATGGCTAGACAAGCAACGGATAACTAAGAAGCACGAAAAAATGATCGGAAGAACTAGTAGTACTTCACCCATGCCCAACTTGAACCCAAGCTGGGCGAAAATTCGCAGTGACGTGACCAGGCCTGTCGATGTTTCTGGGGCCCATACTTGGAGTCCCCAGCTCCTCCCTGTCTGACCCTGTATAAGTTCGGCTGCTCCAAAGCTGACTTAGAGATATCACAAACACTGGACTGGCTAGAAAACACTAAGGGAAAAGTCCCCTTGGCGCGCTCTCGTGCGACCTAAGGAGAAAGGGGGGGGGAGTGGGGGGGTCAGGCATAATTTCTTGAGGGGGGGGGGGGGGGGGTGGTCCTAGAACCGGAAATCAAAACCTTGTGGGTGGGGAAGGCCTGGTTGGAGCACTTAACGCATCCGGGGAAGGGTCGAACGAAGCACTTAGTGGCATGGGTGCAGGGCGATCCTAACACTTTATGCAGTCGAGCTGGAGCGAAAGTAGCCCGGAATTTCAGGGCATTAAGGGCATATCCTCATCAATTGACAGGCCTGGACGTGACAAACGATCACAGTGCTTCTGTTCTGTGGCTCCCCAAACAGAGATGCGACACCTGACGTACTGTGTTTCTTTCTTCGGTTTTGGCGGGAACCAATCAGATTTGTTCGATCTGTTCGAATGCTCTCAATGAAACAGAGCAAACTTGTCGGTTTGGTTTGAAAATTGTTTCACTCGACAGGCTCTCTTTCAAGCTGGAGACGGGTTCACTATTTTGCATTTCGGTTTTAAAGGAAACCTGGATGGGTGCTTGCTTGACCTGTACAGAAAAAATAAGAGGAGTTCGCGGCACTATTCTACTCCGACAAAAGAGACCTGGGAGAAACAGCGCGCGAAAAGATCGGGATGCCGCAATGACAACAACGGTGCATATTACAGGTCCCTCCTGACCCGTGCGTCTACTCGAGCGACGGCGCAGCGGCGAAGCTGGAACCCGGTACTTACGGACTTTGGTGGTGTGACAGGCCGGTGGGCTGCTTAACGGTTGGGTGTGAGCTTTATTTTATTGAAAGCTACCCCGACTCCAATATTTTTTGTGCCTTCACTGTATTGCTAGTGACTGCTACCTCGGATTGTAAGGGGAGAAATTAACCCTATACGGCTTCCCCTATTACAGTCAATGCTGCATTGGCCGCCAAACGTAGGCTTCATTCCTCGATCGCTATGGTTCGGGCTCCGCTTCTAGGCTTGGCCAGTGCAATGAGGCATGAAGCGGTGAGCAAGTTGGCGACAGGATGCGGTAAGTTTCCTCCGAGCACAGTTTTGGCTTGCGCATGGAGGTGTGCGCAGGCTGAAGAGTTGGTGAGCAACGCGTCGTGTAAATGTTCCAAAGCGGTTCCAGACGGGCCTGCTCTGACCCCGTTTTCGCAGCGACTGAGAAGTTTGACGAAATTTGGCATGGCGATAGCAATGGCAGGCGATGGCGTGGTGGTGAGAGGTGCTTGTTACGCAGTTCCTCCAACGTGTCGGCCAATGGGGGGCAAAGTGGTGTTGACTCTAGCGCTAGTACAGTTTGGCGAAGGCTTCTGCGTTTCGCCAGACCCTCTGCCCGGCTAATCTTCCCTTTGTCATCGGGATGGTGACGTGGAATTGGGGGTGTGTTTATCGCTCAGCTGCCTCGTGGTAGAGAAGTTCCCCTTGGCCTTGCAGGAACAAGCGCAATCGCTTCTTGATGATTGGCCAGTCTGGCCATCTCGGCGAATTTTGGCGAAGCGTCCAACGAGGGAGAATTAGCAACAGGTGCCATCCCGCTACCGAATCTGGATGTCGTGAGGGGTGTAGGAGGGGTATCAGGAGTGCCAGCGGGAACGGTTGGCAAAGGTTTGGCGGGAATATGCAAGACAAGGGTGGTTGTCGACTGTCGTACAATGGCCCGATATCCCAGTTCGCCACCGCGGCGAACTTATCAGCTTGCCTCGCCAGCTCCTCTAGCGAAAAATAGAGTGCATTTTGTGCAGGGATAGGCAGTTTGGATTTTTTCCGGCTACAGTTTGATGTTGGGGTGCGATCGCCGGTTGGATTGGGTGCTGTCCGATTCCTATCATGCGGCCCTCGTCCCTCCTCGTATTGTGCCGCTGCAACACTTGGGGTTGGGGGCACTTTCTCTCCCAACTCTCGTCCTTCCTTCCCCCAGTGATCCACTCTCATCACTGCTCGATGAGGGTTCATCCTCCGTTCTATAAGACGGGCTAACTTAAAGCCCTCTGTCCTGCTGCCTGGAACTCGTTCACCAGTCCACCGTTCGCCCTGCTTATTGACCTTCTTCCCACGCTTTGGCACCTTCCTCCGTGACATGGTGATTGCTGGCGCGCTTGAGCCGTCGCCAAAGCACGATAACGTTGCGTCAGCGGTGAACAGACCGTCGTCGCCCGTGCCTGCATCGGCGACCTTGTCAATGAAGCCCCCGGTACCACATGCACCGAAACCTGTGAAACCAATTGGGAAAGCCCCTCCTCCCCTCGGGTTGTACTCTGCAACTGCGGCACCTGTTGCAGCCGCTGCGCCATCTCCCGCCACTGCGCCGTCTCCCTCTTCTGCGCCATCTAACTCTATTGCACCGTCTACCCTTGCTCTTGTCCATCCAAGGGCGGATCTTGCACCTCCTGCCGCTGCACCAAATTCACCTACAACTGCTCCCGTGCAGCCTATCGTCGCTGTCCACGTTGCGCCGTCCCCGGCCGACGACTTGGCGTGGTTGGCGGTGTCCGCCACCACTGGCGGCCTGGCCCCGGCGAAGGCGGTGGACTCTGCTATCTACCCGGTGTAGGCGGCGTCCCCGGTGCCCTCGCTGGCTCTGACTGAGCAGCGTTTTGTCGATCGTCACCTGCGTCCCAAGTCTCCCGATCGCCGCCCCTCTCGCCATCACTCCCCCTCACCGCGCGATGAGCACGAGCCATTGCGACTCCGGCACAACTCTCCTCGGCACCGCCAATCACAGGCGAACTGGCCTTCGCAACGTGGCGGAGGGGAGGTCGCGGTCACGGGCGTGGCGGAGCGTATGGGGTGCAAGAGCTGTGGGCGGATATTGGGCGCATTGTGGCCGCGGTCACGACGCCCAGGCCGGCACCGCGAGCCAGAGCGGCTCGCAGCAGGTCGTGCCATCGCCTGTTGCTCCTCACCCTGCGGCACGTCCAGGTGTTGCTCCCCACCCGGCCGCTCCTCATCCTGCTGCCCCTTCCACCTCGGCGCCAGCACATTGGGGTGTGGCGGCGGGTGCCGATCTTCGTCTGCCCTGGATCCCGCCAGTGGCGGGCATGGAATTTGTGGGAGCGGGAGAGGAGCGGTGAGGGCACAATATCCGCCTCTTTTTCCCACTGATGCTCCCCCTTTGGCTGCTGCTGGTCCTCTCCCCTTCCTGGTGGGGGGTCCTCCTCCCCCGCAGGCGCGAGTGCCCGAAGCGACGCTCTGTCAGGTGTGGCGGCTTTCTGGGTGTCTGCGTGCGTTCCTGCTATTGCAGGTGTATGTGCATGCGTCCCTTCTGCGGGTCTCTGGGAGGATTGCCTTGATGCTGCCGATCAGCTCGCCTTGCTCCTGGTGCCCATGTTTGCTGCGCCCGTGAGGGGAGGCGTTGCGGCAATGTGGTAGCTTGACGCTGCTGTTTGAGGCCTGAGATGGTACTTGCGCACTGGGTTTGCGGCCGACGCGATCGGCGCAAGTACCTTGGTGGTCCGTGATGTGTGGCAGACGATGGCGGGCATTCTCCATGCTCTTTAGGTGGACCGGATGTAGAGAACTTCCAATTGGCCTTGCTGGAACAAGCGTAATCGCTTTTTGATGGTTGACCAATCTGGTCGCATTGTCAGATTATGGCGAAGCGTCAAGCAAGGGAGAAATATCAACAGGCGCCAGCCTGCCTCTGAGTGCGAGTGTTGCGAAAGGTGTAGAAGAGGTGTCAGGCCTCGGTGGCCTCCCCCGTCAAAATTTTGCCTAAATTTTGTCAGCATGCGTCGCCAGCTCCTTAAGCAAAATTTAGTGTGCGTTTGGTGCAGAAATTGGCGGTTCCGAGTTCCTCCTGGCGCAGTTTGATGTTGGGGTGCGATTGTTGGTTGGAATTACTGCTGTGCGGTTCCCATCTTTTGGCCCACGCCCTTCATCCTGTCGCGCCGTTGCAACACGTGTGCTTGGGGCACCATCCCTTCCAGCTCTTGTCATCCCTTCCTCTAGCGGCTCATTCTCGTCACTGCTCGAGAAGTGTTCACTCCCCATCCTATTTGAAGGGTCTCTCTGCTCCTCTATACCCTCGGTGTTTTCTAGAGCGATTAAAGCCCTTCGTCCTGCAGCGTGGAACCCGTTCTCTAGTCCACCTCCTACCCTGCTTGTCGCCCGTCACCCCGCGCCCCAACGCCTTCCTCGTCGACATGGTGATTGCTGGCCCACCTAAGCCGTCGCCAAAGTGCGCTGCGCTGCGTCAGCGGTGAGCAAAAAGTCGTCGCCTCGATCCACGTCGGCAACCGCGACGAAAAAGCCCCCTGTGCCGCCTGCCCCGAAGCCTGTGAAAACAGCCGTTGCAGTCCATGTTCTCCCCGAACCAGTGCTCTTGCTCGACCAGCCTCTGCTCCTGCTGCACCTGCTGCTGATCTGGCTGCACTTGCTGCTGCTCCGGCTACCGTTGCTCCTGAACCCCCTGCTGCTGCCTTCGTGTAGCCGGTCGCCGCTATCTTTGCTGCGCCAATCTCGACCGACAATTCGGCGCAAACGGCGGTGTCCGCCACCATTGGCGGCCAGGCCCCGGTGATGGCGTCGGACACTGCCGTCCAGACGACGCAGGTGGCGCCCCCAATGGCTCTGACCGGTCAGCATTTCCCCGATCGGCGGCAACGTCCTCAATCTCCCGATTGCTACCTCTCCTGTCCTCACTCGCCCTTGCCCCGTGATGAACGAGAGTCGTCACGGCGCCGGCATGAGTCTCCCCGGCGCCGCCAGACGTAGGCGGGCTGGCCAGCGCACTGTGGTGGTTGGAGGGGAGGTTGTAGTCGCGGGTGTGGTAGTGCATCTGATGCGCTGCTAACGTGCTCGGACATTCAGCACATCGTGTCGGCGGCGATGCGCGATGCACTGGCCGGCACGGCGAGTTAGAGCGGATCGCAACAGAATCCACCGCCACTTGCTCCCTCTCCTGCTGCTCGTTCTGTGATTTCTCCTCAACCAGCAGCTCCTCCTCCTGCTGCCCTGCGGCCTCGGCACCTACTCCCAGAAGAGAGGCGCCAAGTGGCTGTCTCCGACTGCCTTGGGTCCCGCCAGTTGCGGGCGTGGAATTTGTGGGATCGGGAGGCGGAGCGGTGAAGGAGCAGTATCCTACCCTTCTTGCGGCTGATGCAGCTCCCTCTGCTGCTGGTGATCCACTCCACTTCCTGGCCGGGGGGGCCCTTCCTCCGCAGGCACGCGTGCCCAAGGTGACACTCGGTCAATTGTGGTGCCTCTCGGAGAGTCTGCGAGCGATCCTTACGGTTCAGGTGATAGCGCACGACTCCCTTCCTCGTGCTCCCGCAAGCACTCTTCTGGACGGCTCGCGGGACGACTGCCTGGGCGCAGCAGACCATCTCGCCCTGCTCCTGGCGCCCATGTTGCTTGTGCCCACACGGGGAGGCGTTGCGGTAGTGGGTAAGCTTGACGTTGCCGTTCGGGGCCTGAGGAGGTACTTGTGCACCGGGACTGGAGCCAACGCAATCGGCGCAAGTACTCTGGTTACCCGCGAGGTATGGAGGACAATGACGGGCCTTGTTCGTGCCCTTGAGGCAAACCGGATATGGTACCCGACTCCGCGTGCTCCATTGCTGCTTGCATAGATGCCTGTTCCTCCTGCCATGAATGTATGTCCTTCTTTTATGAGTAGTTTCTTCGTGTGTTGCTTGCCATCCCTCACGTGCGGCGGAAGGCCGTGCTGTCGAGCGTCAGCTGCCGAAGGCGGCCGGCGTGAGGCGCTTGGTTTGGAGAATAAATGAGCAGCAGAATTGCACTAGGGGCTCTATCATGACAAAGCAGTCCCCAAGGGACATTTCATGGTGAACCCCACCCACTGGCGAGTTCTCTGCTGCTCCCGCCAGATTTGATTTTATCAGGTAGCCCACCAATTGGGCTCTTTGTAGAGCCACCGACCACCACTGCCTAAACTGATATAGTAGCTTAGCGGCCCAGAATGAGAGGGGGTCAGAGTTGAAGTGCCGCCGCGCGGCTGTGTTGGCCAAGAGCTTTAAGAATTTTGGCACCTTTGCACATGGGCAGCCGTAGGTCTCTACTGCCAAGGGGAAGAAGCCGACAGAATTAGGCCGCGCAGCGTAGTGCTCGATCTTCTTATCGGCTTGTTCCGTTGCCGCCCACCCCCAACCTTCTTATCGGGATCACGTGTACTAATGGGATCAGTGACTGTATTGTCACAGATCCAAACCGCCCCGGAGCTCTTGTCTCGTATTGTAAAGTCAAATATCTACGATGAACCCTGCATCTTTAGCCATGCTGATGCATTCATCCCAAAGTTCGTTATGGATGTTGATTCTTGCCTTGCCAGTCCCACAACGGAAATGGTGGTTGGAAAGCCTGGGGTCGGTTATGGCCGTGTGGTTAAAACAGTCACAGTTTGCTGGTGTTGAGAAGGGGAGGCCTAGCCTGAAACGCACCACATTTGCAAAGTGTTCCGGGCCGATCCTGTGTGTCGGTGCTATTGAGATGGCTAGGCGCCATTCCCTATCTCATAGCCTGTTAAAGAAGACATCATTTGTGTGTGCCCTAGTAGCAGATTTAGCCTCATACCTCTGGTCGCCTGCACCTACTCGGCTTATCCGCATCCTTGTACGCTCAGTAATAGCACGTGCTGCAGCTCTACACGGGTCAGCGTCAGTCTCTCCTTCTGCAGTAGTTCAACCGCATCAGTAGGTAGTGAACTTTCACACTCCAGTAGCCACGCGTGTAGGGCGGAGTCAGCGTCTCGCAGCAGCAGCATGTGGTTCATTGCCGAGGTCAGGGCATCGCCAGCGTCAGTGGCAAGGAAGAGATCAATTGGGCCGCTTGTGTAAAACTGACCAGTAAGCCGAAAGGGACCCTCGATCATAGGATCCGTGAGACCGATCCCACTGAGCGAAGGCGGGACTGAAGACTGCTCCCAGACGCGCGTCTGAATCCCGCAAGTTGTGAGCAATGTGGCCAGTAGGTCCCTTCCCCACTGGAACCACGTTTCGCGAGGAAGGAGGTTGATTGGGGTGGTCCGGGTCAGATATAAGACGCGGCGTGAGATGCAGCAGGTGAGCAGGAGTGACGCCACCTATGGATTGGTTTGTTCTAGCAGCAGCAATGGCTTAGTCATGCCGCGTAGCTGGTCCGCTAGGAAGGTGGCTGCGCCAGCGTTGGTTCCGAGGCAGCTACCTAGTAGGCGGACACCATCAGTATGGAAGGGGACTGATGTGGGCAAGACTACTCCGGCAGGTCTTGTTTCCAAGCCGCACACTTCGCCGAGTTGTGTCACAGCCCAATAGGCACCAGCTACTCGGTGAAGTGTGTGAAGGCGCGGATCGTTTTTGTATTGCCGCCAAGGAAGGTAATGTCGTCCGCATACGCTAGGCAAAGGACTGCTGGGTATGCGGCTGCTGCCGCGCGGAAGGCTGAGTGGATACCGACTGCAAGGAGCATTGGACCCAGTGGATCTCCTTGATGGACCTCAAAAATTGTGAGATCAGAGGCGGGCTAGCGTAGCCAACGTCCAGATGCAGCTGCGATGGCGCGCCGTTCGTCAGTTGTACTAGTGCCTGTACTAAGGCTGTGAGAAGCTAGAGAGGGTTGGGAGGCTAAGGACAAAGTTCCTAGTGCTTCCGGGTCCCTAGTGCTGATCAGGTCAGTGATGGTAACGTCGCAGATGTAAACCGCCCCACTGCTTCTATCGGTCATGGTGAAGTCGGCCGTTTGCTCCTCGATAGGGCAGTAGGCGGCCGACTCCCTGTGTACTAGAAACCCCCCGTCTTGCGTGCTAACGCAGGCGTCCCGCAGCTCATTGTGCGTGTTCGTGCGGTGCTTGCCTGTGCCGCAGCAGAGCAGGTGGTTTGGGAGACGTGGGTCAGTGATAGCCGTGTGGTCCGCGCAGTCACAGTTCTTGGGAGTGGAGACGTGGGTCAGTGATAGCCGTGTGGTCCGCGTAGTCACAGTCGGCGCACGACAGCGCGGCCTTCGGCCGCGCACTAGGGGTGGCAAGACAACAGCTGCATTAATACCAGCACACCATACAAACATGCAACACTAGGAAGGCCCTAGCAACAAGGGCAAGGTAAGTAGGATAGCAGGGGGGGGAGGAGATGGAGAACAAGAAGGCACAAGGCAAGGCCCAACAGGGGCAGATTGTCACACGTGGTTCAGCACATAAAACCGCCGCCGAATCCAGCGGAGCAAGGACGCGAGCGCGGGTACAAGCTGGAGGGGAGCCTGCTCGGCAGCCATGGCTACCCTGCGGAAAGCCCCCGCACCCAGCCCCTCGTTCTCGTCAGGATGCTCAGACTCCAGGGGCAAGCGGAGGAGCCTCCACAAGCCCTGCGCCGCAGCATCACGGACAACGCCCTGCTGCTGCTCGGTCAGCTGGGGATCCCGCAGCACGGAGTTCCGCGCCTCCAGACCAGCATGCAGCTGCTCCAGCGCCGTCGCCACGTGGGAGAGGCACTCGCCAACACCAATCATGCGCCGCTCCCAACGGAGGACATCAAGGACGAAGTCGGACTTCATGTCCCAGTCCCGGCCCCACGTCGTCCCGGACATTGGCGGAGACTCCCACAGCTCGTCGTTCCACCACTTCTCATCGTCCTCAGGATCAAGTGCGTCGGGCGGAAGAGGGGGAGACTCGGCACGGGGCCCGTGCGGAGGGAAACGGGCGACAGGGGAAGGATCGAGAGGAACAAGGGGATGCCGCCGCTGTGGAGGCTCGGACAGAAGATCAGCATCGACACGCGCCTGATCGGGAAGGAGGGGCACGAGATGTGCACCAGCTGGCAACACCGGCTGCGGAGGCACCGGAAGGGGAGGCGGGGGAGAGCCCGCCACCGTTACCGGCGCCGACGTCAACGCAGGGGAGGCCACCACGGGGGACGAGGTAGGTGGACCAGACGACTGCTGCTGCGAGGACTGCTGAGACGACGACGGAGGAGGCTGAGGTGGAGGCGGCGGCGGAGGCAACGGAGAAGGTGCCTGGAGATGCGGACCGACAATCTGTCGCTGCAGGGCAGGCGTGGGCCGAGGCGGCCGGCGACGATGGAAGGAACCACCACGGGCCCTCAGATGAGAGTGAGTGCGCCCGCAGGGCGAGCGATACACCAGCTCACGCGGACGAGAGGGGGCCCCGGCCCCCTCGTGCGCGACCAGTGCAACGGCGGCTCGGAGCAGGACTGGCGCCAGCTCGTCCCGGGCCTCTGGTGGGCTGGGAACAGCAGAGTACCCTGACGCGCGACCCTGCCGCGGACGCTTCCCCGTCATCACAGTAGCACCACGAGGCTCGGGAGGAGGGGGAGGTGGAGCGACGGGTGATAGAGCAGGCAGACAATGAGGCCCAGGAGGAGGAAGCGGTGTTGGCGGCAAGCGCCGCGGAGCGGAGAAGGCGGGCAGGGACAAGCTGGCAGAGAGTGCTCTAAGAACGTGCGGATGAACTGGCCGCGGGCCAACAGCCGCGAAACTCGGCGGCGAGGGCAGCCACCAGCGGCCGCTGACGAGGCCGGGGCCGGGGTGGGCGCGTGGGCGAGCTGGTGAGAGCAGTCGCAAGAGAGAAGGCCAGATCCGGAAACTGGCGGGAACGGCACGGGAGGCCAGAGGATATAAGGGTGGAACCAATGAATGAACCTGCACAGGAGGAGGGGTCAGAATATATGGAGGGATAAGAGGAGGAGTCAGAGGACGAAGCGGTCGAGGCAGAGGATGGGATCCCCACAAAATGAGGGTGGGGGTAGAGGACATGGAGGCAGACAGGGACGAGAGGATCGAGAAAATCACGCACAGGTGGGCGAATCAGAGGCCCAGCGGGTCAACGAGGCTGCCAGCAAGGAGAGCCCCCCCCTGAAGATCGCAGAGGATGAGACCGCGTGGCACAAGATACTTGAATGGGACCTGGGACCTCTCTGTGCCAGCGCGCAACCGTTCCTGGTTCGTAGACTCCCTCTAGAATTCCTGAAGGTATACAGCCACTGCATCTCCGTACCACTCCTACAACTCTCGAAGCGTCCAGACTGCCTCGGCGCGTGGAGAATGTTACAATTCCTTCCCAAACTCACACTACGTGCGGAAATGGAAACAGCACCTGGGAAAAGATGGCAGGCAGTCGAAGCTAGGCTTCGATAGTTCCGAGAAGAGGAGTGCGACGCACTGTACACCCAGGCCAGCACTTTCCCCCCAAACTCAAAACCAGACAGGCATGAACCGGACCCGGAGGGAATCTGCGCCAGAGCTGAGGGGCTGGTCAGGAAAGCCAACCTGGCGAAGGAGACAGCAGCGTTACACACCTCGCCACAAGCCGAGACCTCGCAGGCGACACTGGAAGCTCTCCTCTCTAAACACCCAACCCAGGAACTGGCGATACCGGAGGGGATCACGGATTACGCAACTTCCGAGCTCGCAATAAGGGCAGAGACGTTTCGCGAAGTGCTGGCGAAATGCCCAAACGGGATAGGAGCAGGGCCATCAGGGACATGCTTCAAGCACTTACGCGATCCTGCCTTAACCAACTGGGAGGTCTTCGTTCTCCTGCACAAGATAGTTAATCGGCTTCTTAGCACCTACCAGAACGAGGCGGTATAGGAGCTGCTACTCCCATCCCGCCTAATAGCCCTGGAAAAGCCGGACAGAGGAGTCCGACCAATCGCGATAGGAGAGCGCTAAAGGAACTGGCGGGCGAAATCCGCTAGTATTTCCTACCCGTGCAACTTGGCGTGGCCGTACCTGGAGGAGCGGAGTGCATCATTCACACGACACGGGCGCTAGTGGCGGAGGACCCAACGAGGGTGATCCTACAGTTAGATATTGAAAACGCCTTCAACTCGGTGGAGCGTGGAAGCTTCCTATCGACGCTACAATGGACCGGCTTGGCCTTGCTAATGCCACTAGCACGCACGCTCTACGACGCACCATCGAAACTCCTGCTGGATAGCGGGTTCGACACGCCCCACATCAACAGCGCGGGGAGTGCGACAGGGAGACCCGCTCGGACCAATGCTTTTCGCGATGGCCATCCAACCGGCACTACTAGCGGCGGCGGATACGGATCCAACTGTGACAGCGATGGCATACGCGGACGACATAACAATCGTGGGCGAGCCGGCGAGGGCAACAAGGGCGCTAAATATGATACGGGACGAACTGGGAGCCTGCGGCCTACGGTGCAACCTGGCCAAATCCTCCGCCTGGAGCCCGTCTGGAATCAGCTGCCAACTCCTGGATGGACTGCCAACGGCAGTGGACGGAGTGCGGGTGCTCGGGAGTCCGATTGGCACTACTGCATTCTGCCAGCGGACCATCAGGGGGACTCTTGAGGCTACGACGACACCGTTGGGGCTCATTGGGAAACTCCACCCCCAACACGCACTGCTGATCCTATCGCGGTGCATCTCACGCAGGGTCTCGTACCTTTTACGGACAACACCTGCGGACGTCCTTCCCCGCAGAGAATGGCGAGAATGGAGTGAGAGACTCCTGTGGACAGCGCTGAAAGCGGCACACCTACACACACCGAGCAAGGAACTGGAGCAGAGCCTGGTGTGGAGGCAGGCGACGCTGCCGATTGTACTCGGGGGGCTGGGAATCATAGACCCACTCTCAAAGGCACCTGCAGCATACCTGGCCTCACTGCAGGCAGCGCGGACCCACCTTCAGCACGTTTCTGCAACTCCCAGCCACCCCCTGCAGCGAGTGGCGGCACTGGTGTCACCACACGGGGATGGGGACACAGGGGAAGGTGGGTCATCCATCAGGGACCTACGAGGCAGACTCCCCGAAGCGGCAAGGGAGCGGCAAGGGAGGCAAGGGGACAAGGGCACGGAGGGGAAGGGACGCCTGCAGGAGAGCCTCTCCAGGTTGATCAACATGGACCGGGCGGCGGAGTTGGTAGGGGACACAAGGGTTGACAAGCCAGGCGAAGACAACGGCCATGTCGTTCGCTTGATAAGCATGCAGGGAGTGGGAGCGGGGGACTGGCTTCATGCCATCCCCACACGTGTGGACCTCACATTCTCACCAGGCCAGTTCGCAATGCCCTTGGGCTTTCAGCTAGGTCTCACCTTGGCATTGACGGACAACTGCCCATGCGGGAAGCGACTGTCCAAGATAAACGACCGTAGCCTACCCAACCACCTGCTGAGATGTGCGGAGGGGAAGGACAGGACCAACACTTTTATGTGATGCTATCATTTGCATTCACGTCTGTCTGCCTCCCATCACATGTTCGTGCGTTGCATGCGTGGTGTGAGCGTGTGCAAGAATTTATGTTTTCTGTGGTTTGGATTTTCTGAGTGTGTGTGAATGTTATTTGGCTTGAGCAGATATCTGAAGTGACTCCACTGCTCAAGAGCTTTCCGACGAACCAAGTATCGCTTCAATCGGAGCACAAACAAGAAAGTTACGAACGTTGGAAGTTCGTATGTTTTTTATATTTGGTTGTGGTGACTATGGGAAGTTGTGGGGTTGACTCCATAAGGGGTACAGACTTTTGGGGGTTGGGAAATTCGTCAACATCACTGTAGATGCTGCCAAGTGGTTGAGAGGAGCCAAACCAGGCTGGCAAGGGTGGCCAAGTTGGGCAAGGTGGATGGCATGGGTTGGGAAAGTGACAAAAGTGAAAGTGGGGTTGCCTATGAAGAGGGGAATTGTGTGGCATGGGGTTTCCTTGGTTGGGGACTCTCTTGGGACCTTCCCTCTCGTCCTCCTCATTCCATCCCACCTGGTTTATTGCTACACAAACTTCCTTGTGTGGTAATTGTGAGAAAATTGTGATTGAGTTAAGATTCTATGGCAGCATACACCCTAGTGCGCCGAAATTGATAACTCAAGAAATACTTAAACTTTTCGTACGATTCAACTTGGGAATTGTAGCCACGGAGTAGAGCTACAACATATATGAGTTTGGTGAAGTTTTGACCGTGAACTATTCGTCGACGGCGTTTCTTGTGAGCGCGACTATTCTGTCCAGAAATTGAGACCAACGATTTTGTGATATTTCGGCTCCTAATCTTCATAGACTCCGTCCTTAGTCTCTAACAAACACACACAATAGCCTGGTGTACGCGGCACTACGGATGGCCAACAAAGCTGACTACATGTCTGCACATAAGACCACGGCCTTCTCGCAAATTGTTAACCCCAAGCGAGCGGACTTGGTCATCAAGGACAAGGAGTCAGCGGAAACCTTCGTGACCGACGTGTCAGAATGTTATTCTCTAGCCTGTAGTGGGGTGCTCTATAGCGAGTACAACCCATCTAGGGTTTGCTATATGTATCCTCATTGCTGCTAGTGAACTCTCCTTCTTTTGCCTAAACTTCTCTTGCCTAGCTAGGACTTACCTAGCTATGGCTCCTAACTCTACCTACTATTTTCACATGCTATCAGAGAAGGTCGATCCCCTTGGGTCGATCCTGTGGGTGGGCTCACCACCTCACTGCTTCCGCTGCTACTGCCACTCTATGTGTCGCACGCCCCGTGGCGTGCGACGGATTTTTCATCCCGCCGCGCGCTCGGAGCGTGCGGCGGTTTTCTGCCCGCCGTGCGCCCCGAGGCGCGCGGCGGTTTTCTGCCCGCCGTGCGCCCCGGGGCGTGCGGCGGTTCTCTGCCCGCCGTGCGCCCCGAGGCGCGCGGCGGCCTTCTGCCCCGTCGGTCCGCGCGTCGCCCCCGTCGGGCGCTTCGACGGGCGACGGGGACCAGCCCGTCGTCCCCCGTCGCCCGTCCTGGCCAGCGCGGGCTGCGCCAGCCCCGAGCGCGGCCCGTACGGGCTGCGCCCGGCCCGCGCGCGGCCCGTACGGGCTGCGCCAGGCCCGCGCGCGGCCCGTACGGGCTGCGCCAGGCCCGCGCGCGGCCCGTACGGGCTGCGCCAGGCCCGCGCGCGGCCCGTACGGGCTGCGCCAGGCCCGCGCGCGGCTCGGGCCGCCTGCGCGCGGTTCGTCGGGCTGTGCCAGGCCCGTGGGCGGCCCGTTCCTCTCTGTCCCTGAGCTGCTCGCTGTCCCCCGTGCTTCTGACGGTGCCCCACCCCTACTGCTGCCCGTTCTCCTGAATTAGGGTTTGGGGGTGAGGAGTGTGGGGGTGGCGGTTGTGTGTTACTCCCCTTGCTCCTCCTCCTCCCTGGTCTCCCACTGCTGCAGATGCCGCTGAGGGGGGTGGGTGTGTGGGAGCCTAGGGTTTAGGGTTTTAGGGGGGTGCGTGGGAGTGGAGCTAGGGTTTGAGCAGTGGGTGTGTGTCGAGGGTGTGGGGCAGTTGGAGGAGGTTGTGTGGAGGTACCTGTCGTGTCGCCTGCAGCGCCTGTAGTCCGTCGCCCTTGCTTCGGTAGCCAGTGAGCCTGCTGCACCAGTCGCCAGTGGGTCCGTTGCTCTTGCCGCTCTTCTATAGCCGCCGAGCCAGTTACTCCAGTAGTCCGTCGCCCTTGCTTCGGTAGCCTCTGAGTCAGCCGCTCCTGTGCCCGTGCCTCTGCAGCTTCAGTCGTTGCCTCCCATCTTCTCTACCTCCACAGCTCCTCCTCCTCCTCACTTGCCCGCTGTGATTAGCTCTAGCTTTGCTTACCTTTGTGAACTCCTGCTCTATACCTGCTTGCTTATTGTACTGATTACACCCCACTTTGGCTATGGGGGTGTGTCAGAATGTTATTCTCTAGCCTGTAGTGGGGTGCTCTATAGCGAGTACAACCCATCTAGGGTTTGCTATATGTATCCTCATTGCTGCTAGTGAACTCTCCTTCTTTTGCCTAAACTTCTCTTGCCTAGCTAGGACTTACCTAGCTATGGCTCCTAACTCTACCTACTATTTTCACACGACGTCACAGTGACTGACCCAGTACTGCAGCGTCGGGACACCAGGGCAGTGAAGCCGCCGGGCTGGGTGGCAGAGGACGCGGCAAGGGGGAAAAGGGGCATGTACGAGGGACGGCTGGATTTTGTTGGCGTGCTGGGCCTGGCGGTAGAGACCTATGGGGCCCTGGCCAGGGACACCCAGAAGTTCCTATGCATGCTCGAGACGTCGGCGGCCAAAAAGATGTACAGATAGGGGAAGCTCACTACAGTTGCCTCCAAACTCACTGCGCATTATCGGCAGCGCTTCTCGGTAATGCTGCAGCGAAGCCAGGCCAATACGCTGGCCAAGTCCAACAGGGCAACGGAAAGGGCCTTCCCACAGGCGCCAACAGACCCATGGGAGCCGCGCCTGGGTGACCTCTGGCAGGTCCTGGAAGACGACCTGGATTGGGGACCAGACCTGGATGGTTGAGGGGCCGGGGTAGGGAGGCCCAGGGGCAGCGGTACTAGGAGGTCAGGTGCACGGTTGGCCATGGCGAACCGGGCCAACTAGCAGAGTGGAGTTAGTTTGTAGCCTAGCAGGGTGTGTGTGGGTGTCAGCTGGCTTGCCTTAGGGCTAGACTACATACTAGGCTGGATGGTTGCAACTTGCCTTGCCTATACCCTGATTATGATCAATGAAGGACCGCTTGAGAGAGAGAGAGAGAGGGATGAGGAGAGGAGGTGGTGGGGGCAGGCGTGGCGAACCCCTTTACTAATCCCCAAATCCCCACTCCAAGTCAACCACCCCCCTTAACCTCACCCCCCTTATTAGCCGCCCCCTGGAACCTCACTCCCTCCCCCATTTCCTTCCTCCAGACCCCTCCCCACCCACGGTGATCCCTGCACAGTGCTTCACATGGCAGCCAGCCCCCCCCCCCCCCCCCCACCCCCCCTCCCCGTCCCCACCACCTCCAGCAGCCGCGGGAGGGGAGAGGTAGGGTAGGGGGTGGTTCTGCAGTGGCTCACGGTGACCACCATTTTCACACCACCTCCCCCCCAACAGCCGCATTCCCAGAGGGGAAGGCGACGGGGGAGCACAGGGAAGCCGCACGGGGCGGCACAGCAGCTGCAGTCACGAAATGTGCAGCCGCGGCAGCAGCATAGGGGCCGGCGGGAGGGCGGGCGGGGATAGCTGCTGGTGCGCAACGGGCAGTGTGGAGCTGACGACCGGCAACGAGGAGGTGACGAGGGGCGGCGAGGATGCGGCGACGAGCGGCGGGAAGCTGACGACGGGTGACGGAGAGATGACAACGGAAGAAGGGCAACGAGACGCCCGTGAACGAGCTCGCCGCCGCGCCCGTTACGATGGTCCAGAGCTTCGCGACCATTGAAAGAGTGGCGACGGGGGTTGCTAATAAGGGTGGGGCGTGCGCCATGAAACTCGGACGAAATGGTGGGCCCATGAGGAGCTTAAAGCCCAAATACCATGTTACAATGCTAATTTAGTTAGGAGCTGGGTTCAGGTAAGGCCTAGGATTAGAAGCCTAGGCCAAGGCTGTCGAGTGGGTTGTGCAAGGAGATTATCGGGAATGAGGGGCTTCACTATAGATGTGCAATAACAAAGGAACAAGAGAAGGTGCACCACCAAACAAGTAATGAAAGAGCTACACTACATATAGCTACACGCATTTATATAAACTATGTAGCAAATAGTTTGACAAGCCATGCGTAGGCACGAGTACACCAGCGCATTGTGTGTCCTGGTCTGGTCTCCCCCTTCCCCACCGTGTAATAAGTGGTTGAGTAGGCTCATATCTGTGGTGGGAGGTGAAAGGGGCAGTGCGGATGCGTGAGCAAGTGAGGGGGGAAGGACGGGGTAGGTAGCAGGAACCTAGTGAGATGTAACCTAGATGTAGCAATGATATGGGGGAGGGAGGAACATGAGGGGGAGAGCGATGGGGGGAGGAGCATTGGGGGCAGCACCAATTTAGGAAGGAGCGATGGGGGGATCAGTGGGGGTGGCAGCATCACTGCTAGCAGCACAAAAACTGTTGCTTGAGACACAGGAACCACGGAAGCAGGAGAGGAAATGTGGTAATGTGAAATGTGGTAGAGAAGACGAAAGGAGAAGGGGTAATGACAGGAGACAAAGAGACAGCATGAGACAGGACGGGAGGAGGAGGAGCAGGAGAAGACGTGGTGGCTGATGTGGCAGATAATGCAGCGGCAGGGGAGGAGGAGAAGGATGAGGGAGCAGCAGCGAAGGAAGAGATTGACATAGGGGAGGGGCGGGTGAGCGAGGGTTACGTGGCAGCCATGTGTCATTCTAAACATGACACATGTGCCAATGGCACACCATGTCAAACAAGCCCCCGTCACACCATGCCATGCCATGATGCTGCATGAGCACTGAAAGTGCCTCTCTTGAGGTGCCTAATACCAGTGTCAATGGCCAAAAAGCATGATGCTTTACCCCGCCTACTAGCGGGAGGGATGTGGAATGGATTAGAGAGGTTGATAGGAGCGAGCATCTTTGCGAGCGTCTCATCATTCTTGGAGGCGGAGAGGTGGATGGTGAGGATCGACAATGCCATGTTGAGTTCGAGAAACTGGGTAATTGAGTGCGAGATAGTGACATTCTGCTTCTTTTGAATATTTATCTCAAAGCGATCAAGGAGCTCCGAGTTGGTTCCAGTGTAGAGCAATGACAAATGGTGTAATTTTGTCCTAGGCTACCGTATAGTGGGGCACTCACTACAAAGTACAACCTTGATTGTCAACCCATTCCGCTGTTCTACTTTGAGAAGCAAGTCGTCAACGTAGGCAACGAGTAGGATGAAGTGGCCCCGAAACTCAAGGAGATACATGCCTTGGTCGTATAGAAGCTGTTGGAAACCGAGTGAGATGAGGACGCAATGTAGGTACGGGTGCCAAACGCCGATCGCTTGATTGATATCGTAGAGTGATTTTTGGAGTATGCACACCTTGGATGCGTCTTCCTTGAAGGTATGAGGCTATCTTATGTAGATGAAGGCATCGACGATGGCGTAGAAAAAAGCGGCTTTTTTGTTTTTATTTATTTATTTATTCTTTTTTATGTAAAGCTGGCTGGGTTCCATATGTTTAGCTCGATAATGCAACACATGATGCGGATCAAAAAGTGGCGGCAGGTAATGTCTGGTCGTGGTTGATGCGATGCGCTTTTTCGAAGCCACGTTCCACCCAGCGTGCCGTGATTTTGTGGATGGAGCCGTAAGTTTTTTTTTTTTTTTTTTTTTTTTTTTTTTTTTTGGAAGACTCATTTGTCGCTGAGAATCGTCTTCCTACATGCAGTTGAGCATAGCACCAGGTTCCAGGCTCCGAGCTAATGCAAAGGTTCCACTTCCTCATTCATAGCTGCTCGCCATTTCTTAGGGCGCGTTACATTTTTCTTTTTTTTCGTCCGGACGTCCAACCGTCTAGACGATTGTGTGGTTATGAAACTCGTTAAATCTCGGCAGTGAGTTCGTCAGGGACTAAACGACGTCGCATTCTTCGTATTTCGTCCTTATGACATCGCGTTGGTCGCAAAGCGACCGTGCGACGTCGCAATCTTCGCACGCGTCCGGACAGCCGTCCAGACGTTCAGTGACTTCGAAAAATGTAACACGCCCTTACTGATGGGTCCTGCAGGGCTTGGCGCACAGTGGTGGGCTCTTAGGGAGTGAAGGATTGGCGAAGTACGACGGCGAGGCCGAGAATGCCAAGTCCTGATTCGTTAGAGGAGTGACGGTCCAGGTCGTGCGTGTTGGCAGCCAGTTGTACAGTAAATAGTACATATATTGACGCAAAAACCCACAACCTGTTGAGTGCAAATGCTATTCTTTGCACGTCAAGCAGCCGCCTGCATATCATCTTGCATCACATGAATGGTTCGCGCACATCCATTTTCACACTTTACTTCATTCGCATTCATGGCGAGTTCATATTCGTTCATGAAAGCTCACGACGAGGCATCTTGAATTTCCATGAGTATTCATTTAGTGTTTATGGCGAGGGAGCATTATGAAGATTCACGAGTGTTTCACGAGTCCCCACGAAGCGAGATTCATGAAGAGTCGCGAGTGTTCACGAGGAGTCAATTTTGACTCGTGAAAAGTCATCGCCTCAGTCAAGGTCAACTGCATGGAAATATCAGGACCCACGCGTGGGGTCCTGATCGTGCGGGTGGGCCCTCAAGCCCGCGCGTGTGCCTCTCGCTATGTGCGAGCGTGCACTGTGGGCACGATCGCAACAGAACAGGGCGAATGATCGACCTGCCCACGCACGGCACTGCCCACGTCAGTGCACAGTACCGCACGACCGAGAAATCGGTCGTGCATGATTGCAGTAAAGGACGAGTTCGGGATTACTGTTGAAAAACCGAATCCCGCATTGACTCGGCGTACAGACAGCTTCGCTGGAAACGTCGTGCGAGTAATGCGACATTTTCGATACAGGGAGAAAACGGTGAATACCGTTTTTCAACTGTGAGACTTCGTGAAAACGGTAAATCCACACGAGTGATCATCATTGCCAATGAGAATTCATGAGTACTCATGTGTGGAGTCAGCAGGGCATTTGGCAGACATGAGATTTGAAGACAGTTTTCTTCAACAGGCAAATTATGCCAAATGCCGCAACAGTTTGACAACCGTTTTCTTTGGCATATCTGGTGAAGTCCTGGACTCCAGTTAAACAACCGTTTTGTGTGCTTTCCTTCTGTGTGCTTAGGAGTTTATATAAAATGCATACTTGTACCTACTTGAATCAATCAATGCTCTTATGCTTTCACTCTGGAATTCTACTACTACATATTGACGAGAGTAGACACGCTCATATGGTGCTGCCGAAACGCTGCTCGACCAGATCTCTCACCCTACAAGCGAGCTAGGCATTGTCACAATATTAGGTTCAAGTGAGGGCCTAGGCTTAGTAGCCTAGGCCAAGGGGAGTCGAGAAAGTTGTTGCAAGAAGGAGGGGCTTCAGTATGGAGCGAACAATACAAATAGGCAAGAAACAAGAATGGTGCACCACCAATAGTTTATGATTGCTACACTAAACTACAGCTACAGGCAGTTACACAAATATATTCCGACACTCCCCCATAACTGCCTGCAGCAGGAGTTTGTGCAACGACACCTCATGAATGGGTACACCAAGCAGAGTAAAGCGGCAGTAGGCAAGAGCAGTGACAAGTTCACTGCTCTTGGAGGGACTATATGAGGAGAAGCTGCTGGCAGGTGAAGCTGCTGACTCCGAGGCGGCTGCTTCCTGGAACCTCCCCCAGTCCTCCAAATCCCCCCTCCACACTCATTGACAACCCTAGCACCACTCCCCCAGCTCCCGGGTCTCCAGCTCCTACTCCCGCAGCACCACCAGCTCCAGCACCTCCAGTAGCTCCAGCTCCAGGAGCACCTCCAGCAGCAACAGCACTAGCGCCTCCCGCTCCAACTGCGGCAGCACCACCAGCCCCAGCAGCTCCAGTACCTCCAGTACGAGCACCTCCGGGACCAGCAGCTCCAGCACCTCCAGCAGCTCCAGCACCAGTAGCACCTCCAGCTCCAGGAGCTCCAGCTCCTGCAACAGCTCCAGCACCAGCAGTACCTCCAGAAACTCCAGCACCAGCAGGACCTCCAGAAGACTTAGCACCCCCAGCCTCAGCAACCGCATGCTCAGCACCCTCAGGCTCAGCACCTCCAGGAACAGCACCCCCAGGCTCAGCACCCCCACGCTCCGCACCCTCAGACTCAGCACCCCTAGGCTCAGCACCCCCAGGCTCCGGACCCTCAGACTCAGCAACCCTAGGCTCAGCACCCCCGGACTCCACACGCTCAGGCTCAGCACCACCAGGCTCCACACGCTCAGGCTCAGCACCCCCAGCATAACTGCTCCCTTCATGTTTTTCTAGGCCCTTGGCTGGGAGGTGACAAGTTGTCACACTCGGAGGGTCTTAAGGGAAGTTAAGTGTTGCTAAGCTTCGGCTTGTAGTGAAGTTTTAAACGCTTCCGCATAGGCTATAGCTGTCAATACAACCTTGCTGGTTAAGTGTAAAAATTCCGCCGGTCTTCACTGCTCGACCACGCAACCAATAGAGTGCGACAAAGCCTCTGTAACCAGGAGTGCCCCAGACACAACCCAGTTTTGCCGAGCCGCATGGCTACAAATCCTGTTGGTTTACAGTCAATCTTGAATTGGTGCCCTCCCGTTTTAGGTATAGCCGTTAGAGGCGAGTTCCTCTGCGATGCTTGGTGGCTAGCGAGCGAGGAACCTGCACAATATGGCTAGTGTTTTGCTCGAAGGCACTGACGAACTAAGTGCGTTTCCAGTAACCACATCAGCAGCAGCAGAAGAAGAAATCCCTCAGCATGCGGTGGTTTATGCATCAACAGAAACCATTTCCGAAACAGCAACCGCA